CTGGTTCTCATTCAATTTTAGAAAAACCATTCCATAAATCAAAAACTCTGCCTGAGGAATTATTTTCATTCTTAAACATGAAATCATGAAAATAGAGGAAAACTATGTTAGTTTACTAGAAAATTGTTTTTAGTTGCTTAATAATGAGTGAACAATGCCATTTCCAGAAAACACACATTACTGAATAAAAAACAGTGCAAGGCGTCAGACACTTCCCTCCTGTTATTAAGTCAGGGAGGCCCCAGAGGGCTCTGAAACAGCACAGGCAACTCCCCCACTGCTGTCCACCACAACTACAGAATAAGATTCTGTTGAAGACAGCATGCACTTCTCTGGACAGAGAAATCAGTATCAAAACCACCGAAAACTTCCTCTACACATCCTGGTTTTCATAGTGCCCAAAAGTGTTATGCACACTGACTGTGAGAAAAGACAGCAACGGCCTCAACACTGGACCATGCGTGCTGCAATATCAGTCTGCCAGGCAAACTCTACCAGTGTAACAATGGCACTGTTGCCATGGGGTAGTGCTTTCAGATTGGGTATAAGAATTGCTCAACAAGAGAGAACTTCATGACTGGGACAGTAGTCCTAGTCAAAAGCTCTTGGCCAGGAGATCATAGGCCCTAGAGTAGAATCTGCTTTGCTCAATACTTCATTTTGTCTAATTATTTTATCAATATTTGGTATTATACCACATACATAGGCTGCTCTCAATCATGGTTAGAGAAGCTTCTTTTGCAATGGGCAGGACTCAAAGCAGAGATATATAAAGTATCGCGGTAAATAAGGATCAGGATAAACAAATAGGCCGAATAGATGTTTATTCAGGGAGAAATAACTTACAACCTAGACAGATGAACACCAGGAAATTCAACCGATCCTCTCCTGTCCGAGTCACACCAGAAAGAGAGCGCCTTTCCTGGCCCCCTCCCACCTCCTTCCACAGGTCACTTCCGCCCATGGCTCCACCCCCCAATGGGCGTGGTCAGTGCCACAGAACTATCAAACTACAATAAAGGGACCAAATACTAAGAATAAGAGACTGAGTGCTCAGCCTGAAATGGGAATTTTTATCAACACATCTCTTCCCCAATGAAGGCTCAGGAAGCACCGTAGAAAAAGGAGACAGAACTCATTTCATACATGAAATGAAACACCATGAAATGCCATTTTCTGGACATGACAGGGCTTCTATACTCTTAAACTCAATGTAGTAGTGGTTACCTGCAGAAGACCTGCAGGAGATAAAGCCAGCCAAAGTCCTAGCAAAAATGGGGAAAAGTGCCCTCCAGGCCTCATCCTTTATTGAGGAGCAACTCGCAATTAATGGCTCCTCAGGGTGTGACTACTGGCAATTTCCTCTGCTCTAGTGCATAGTCTTACACACCTATATACCTATGAGCAGCATTAATTGAACTTAATGGATTATCAGAAAAGAATAAAAGCATGGCCTGGTGGCTCAGGCCTATTATGCAGCTACTTGAGATGCTGAGGAAGATCATAAGTTCAAGGCTTGCCTGGGACAATTCAAATACTCTCCAAACAAAATATGACAATTGTACATATGGGCCCAAAACAACTGTGCCTGCATGCACAAGGCAAGCCAGACAACATCTTTCCTAATTCTCATCTCTGACTTCTTTTTCTTGCTTCACTGTACTGATTAGGATTTTCAGGAACAGAAATAATGAGTGACAAAAGTGAACCTCCTTTTTGTGCATTCCTGGAATTAAAAAGTGCTCCAGCTTCACTGACTATTATGATTCCCAGCAATAGATTTCTTTTTTTTTTTTTTTTTTTTTTGGTGTTTTTTTTTTTTTTTTTTAAGTCCATCTAAGGAAGTTCTTCCAATATTTTGGAAGGTATATAACAAGTAGAAGCTAAAAAGATTGTGTGGTATTCAAATAAACATATATTTCTTCTCTTTTATTTTGATAATGTAGTAATTACACTTGTTGATATTTTTACAGCTTTGTGGAAAAACACATATACCATAAAATCCACCATTTAAATAAACATTCAGGCCAGTGGTTTGCCATGTGTTTGTAAAGCTGGATACCTTTCTAATTCCAGAACATTTTCATGTCCTTGCAAAAAAAAAAAAAAAAAAAAAAACTCAGTATCCACACTCCCCTTTTCAGCCCTCAACAACCACTAATCTCTTACATTTACTTCTACAGGTTTTCCAATTCTAGACATTTACTGCAAATGGAATCATGTAATACCTGGCCTTTTTTGCCTGGCTTCTGATACTTAGCATCATGTTTTCAAGAGTCACTGGAACTATCCTATCTTTTTGTGGATGAAAAAAAAAAAATTTAAAATTCATTGCACGAAAATAAAACATTTGTTCATCCATCAGCTGATGTTAATAAATATGTTTTCCTATTCTATAGCTGTTTTTCACTTCCGTAATAAGACTTTTGCAGCAAAGGTTGGACTGATTTGATAATTTATACCCCCAACCCTTTTTTTGCATGTGCTTTAGGAATCAGGGAAAAAAAAATCATTGCCTAATCCAAGGGAAAGAATGGCATAGACAACATGTGTCTAAATATGAACACAGCCTAACACATAGATAGAGCAGAAAGATAGTGCAAGTAAATATTTCCTAAGTAGCTAAACTTTTAAAGCCAACAGCTGGGTAATAGTCCATGACTGGCATGTTGGTTATGACAAAGTCTCACCTCTCAGCTTCAGCCAGAAAACAAAAACAGGCATTTTTGAGGAATGTAACCACTCATCCAATGCAGAACAAGTTATAAACCAAGGCTAATGTTTTTGAACTGTATAATTTAAGTGCAAGGCTCGCAAATGATTAGATATGACTTATATGCAAGTGGTATATTTTGAAGCATTTTATCTCAAAATAACAAACAAAAAAAATTTACCAAGTTGCTTAAGTATCATGTAACATTTACCAGTGTTTACCTGTTCTAAACATTTTGTTCCACTTACTTGGTAATTTACTACCCACATATTAATTTACATAATGTTTTTCTGAAATCACAAGATTGGACATAAAGGTCCCCACTTGCCTAGACACACTTCAGGGTGTATTGACTAAACATGTGGGTATGTCCCTATAAGTCAGATATAATGTTAGTGAATTTAACAATATAACTCTTTTTGCTAGCCTTATTTCAAACTTCAAAGCCATATCTTGCAAATTGACCTAAAACATACTACAGCATTTTGGTCTTATATACAGAAGCCACTTTAAGGTGAGTTAAAACATTTACTGGCAACATATCTTTAGTAGTATTCAATCTGGAACATTTTCTCAGTTCTTACCTTTTATGTCATTTAACAGTTTATTTATATACCATCACCCCCTCTTACTTTCTTCCCAACATGCTCTTCATTTTTGATTTGTCTGTTTCTCTGTCATTAAGTTCATATTATGTACTTCCAAATGAAATACTAAACAAATGGCATGTCCTTCTCAGACCATCACATCCAGAGGCACACACACTGTCTACCTGTTCCTCAATGGTGGCCCTAATTCTGAACACACATTTGCAGTGTTGCTTGTTTCTCCACTATGCAATTACTATTTCTTCTGCAACTAATAATAAATCTCTAGAGAGATATTCAAACTATAAAATAGCCCATTCCTCCTGAAGGATAAATTTTATAACAGTATTTATAATGTTATAAAAAGTAACCTCTATATAGAAAAGAAGCCTAATTCATTTAGGGTGAGAGTTACGTGCCCGACTCAATTCCATGCCAGTTTAAATATGTTTTATTGCACTAGACTATGTGCACTGAGTATTTATGAAAAACTGCTCATTAACTGTCCAGTCACTACAGTACAATTTTTAAACCAACTAGTATCAATTCTCTAATGTTTGTTCCATAAAAATAAGTCTTTATTTTATGTCAGAGGTTATAAATTAAATGATAAAAAAATGTTCTTTAGCATCTAAAATTTTTTTTAAAAATCAGTAACATTTTTCAAGTATCAGTCAACCTCTTACTCTGAAAATGTTCCTATCTACTACATTCACACACGTTCTGTTAACCTACTGATTTACTAGATAATATACTTATGGATGAGTATTGTATAAGAAATGAGCATCAACCATAGTCTTCTATTATATAACTAAACATCTGTCAGTAGGTCAATTTATCACTGAGTAAGCATCTTATTTATGAGGTCACTAGGCAATGTAATACTATGTGACCACCGTCATATACATGGTTTGTGTTGTTCAAAATGGCAATACGATATTTCACTGCACTCTTTAGAAAAAAAGCAGAGAAAGGTAACTAAACTACTCAATGTGGAGTAGACAACATATATCAGAAATTTCTTTATTTGCTATTTCCAAATATATAAAGACTTTTCTTTTTTAAAAAGAGGTTGCAGAACTTCACGAATATGCAGCTTAAGTGCTTTAATGCCAAATAAATGTCATATAACTAAAACTTTCATGAAGAGGATTAGGAGTTGAATATAAAAAAAAAAAAATCCATAAATCGTGCTTTTTTACTCCCAAGATCAAGAATTGTAAGTTCATGGAGACCCAGCATCTCAAGAACTGATACCTAGATGACTATGACTGCTGTGACTCATGGCAAGTCATGTGGCACAGAGAGGCAAAGCATGAGTGAGATCCGTAAGCGTGCCAGCCGTTTCTGTTATGAAAGATGGAGACAGAACCAGAGCCACCTTTACATCCCCATTTCCTTTATGTTTTTCAAACTTTCTGGAGGGATCACAAATCTTGGTCCGCTGGTCAGCTTTATTCTCATTTTCTCTTACAAATCGTGATGAAAGAAGAAAGGGGTTTCCTAATTCACTTTGTTCCATATGAGAAGCATTTTGGAAGTCCACTGATTTTTCTTTGGAACTGTGAAATGGGCTTTTTTAAATGAAGCTCACTGGCTACTGCTCAAGAGGTGGGAAAGACATCTGCTTCAACAGACTGGTTCGAAGCTTATGCCCTGGCTGCAAGGTTTTCAGGTTATGACCCAGTTTTCCCACTTACCTTAGCTTTTCCATCCTGGGCTGACATATATCCCACGCACATGCTCTCTGTAGTGTGGCTCCACAGAAATTCCACTGTGTGAACAAGAACACAAATAGGTACATTCACATCCACAGATGGAAAATAAATCTTCACGTTTTTAATAGAACAGTTAAAGATAGCTTTATATTTAATGGTCATTCCCGAGTTTCCATTTGCTCCTTCATAAATGTCAAAGTGATTTAGTGCTCAAAACTGTAATGCCATTTACTGTGAAATGAAAAATGTATTTCTTTCTTGTCAAAACTCATGATTATTACATGTAAAATGAATGCTCTTGTGTTTGAACTTAGAACATTAAACACGTATACATTCATAATACTGTATATAATGATTTAGTAAATGCAATATTCCACAGTATAGTTTCTTTCAACAGACACACATGCACATGTGCACGCATGCCTTAGTCTCTACTTAAAGACACAAGCCAAGAGAGATGAAATGTCAAAGAATCTGAACTAGCTTGTTACAGAAAGTAGGGAAATGCTCGAAGAATGGAAGGAACTTAGCAAAAAGATCCCGGGGTCGGCTTGAAGGTCTCTTACTAGCCAAATCTGCTCTCAACAAAGCGACAATGATGAATTATAATATAACCACTGAGCAAATTAAGAACCAAAGTAGTCATATTGATGGGAACAAGTAAAGAGAGAAGAGAGGGGACAAGCTCCTTCTTCCTTGCAGCAGAGTCAATGAATAAATAGAGAAGATGTCTACTGAATGCTTGTCACCTAAGCTGGAAGACATGAGTTCAAAACCTGAAATTCACAGTGGAGGGAGAGAACTGATTCTCCCAAAGTTGTCAATTTACCTGGATATGAGTTCTGTGATACCTGTATGTTTCCCACAGTATATACATACACAATAACTATATAACTATATATATATATATATATAATTACACTCTTAGATAAGACATTGTACCATCCTTCTGAGGCTTGGGGAATAGTAAGGAAAAAGAGGCAGAAAGAATGGAAGACAGGGAGAAAGGCTGCAAAGTGCTATCTTCAATCAAGACATAATAATTATGATCATGATCAGTGTCTTATTCAGCATCATCCAAGAGACTTCCTCCTGCAGCTGACAGAACAAATAGAGACCCACAAGCAGACATTACACAGAGAAAGATACCCTGGAATATACAGTTCTAAACAAAATGTCTCCATAAAATCCTTCCCCTTAGGGCTCAGGGAACCCCATACAAGAGGAGTCAGAAGGAGTTAGGGAGACACAAGGGACAGACGACACCAGAAAAACAAAGTCCTCTAAAACAACATACCTCATATGAACTCACAAAGACTGAAGCAGAAATCACAGTGCCTACACAGGTTTGCACCATATACCATGAATTCTAGTTGGTACTACTAATAAAAACCCAGAGACGGATATTGGGGTTAAAGATGAAGATCAGAGAAGCAAAGCAGCAAGCCACTAGAAAGTTCTCACCTCTACCAATGTTCAGACCAAAGGGGAGATATCCTGTCCCCACACTGCATCTTCAATTGGAATGTTCTCCACCAAACCTCCCACTGCACTGCTCCTCCACCCTTTTAATCCTCTCTAGTGTTTAAAGGTGTGTGATCCCAAGTGCTGAGATCACCTTTATGTGAGCTCTATTTCTCTTTCAGAGTGAATCAATTTCATGAAGCTCAGGGTAGCCTTGAACTAACAGAGATCTGTCTGCCTCAATCTCCTAAGTGCTGGGATTAAAGATATGTACAATCACTGCCTGGCCCCTATGGCTACATAGTATGACTAGCTTTGTACTCCAATCTTCAGGCAAGCTTTATTTGTTAAATCATAAACCAAATATCACTACATCACTAAGTCCTCTGAATATATACTAAACTCTCCGTTTAGTACTTTTATGGGACTCCTGAATGTGTAAACAAGTGGGCCTCAGAGTCTTGTGCCTTCTCTTGGGGCTCTTTTATTTTTGTGTTGTCTTGGCTTCTCCAGCTTCAATATTTTATCTTAGGCTATTTTATTTTGTTACATTTTGTTGTTACCTCTTAGATAACAATTGTTTTCTAATGAGAGTCAGAAAGGGAATGTGGATGGGAGAGGAAAGTATGTGTGGAGGAAGGGGAAGATGCAACAATGAATTCATGGGACCTATTGTACAAGTTTTTAAAACTTTTCCACATATGTGAAATCATATCTAAATAAAATGTTAACAACAAGAATTCAAACGGGGCACCTTTAATTCCAGCACTCAGGAGGCAGAGGCAGCACATGAATCTCTGAGATTGAGGCCAACATGGTCTACAGAGAGTTCCAAGATAGCCAGGGCTACACAGAGAACCCCCTGATTTGAAAAACAACAACAACAAAAGAATTGAAACATACAAAAATATACACAAAAAATTTCTATTACTGTGAAAGGAAAATATTTAACTGGGGCAGGTTTACAGGTTCAGAAGCTTAGTCTGTTATTGTCGTGGTGGGAAGCATGGTGGCACCCAGGCAGACATGGTGCTGCATAAGCAGGTGACAGTTCCATATTTGGATCCACAGGCAACGTGAAGGGAGAGACTTTGGGCCTGGCTTGAGCATCTGAAATCTCAGAGCCCACCCCCAATGACACACTTCCTTCAACAAGGCCACACCTACTCCAAGAAGGCCACACAGACTAATGCTTTCAAATAGTGCCATACTCTGAGTTTATGAAATACCATTTTCACTCAAACCACAATAAGCTTCAAGTGAAACTGTCCAGATTCTAAGTTTTTTTCTTATTTTACATATCAATTCCAGTTTCCTCTACCTCCCATGCCCCCACAACCATCCTTATCCACTCCCAAAGGAAGGTGAGGCCTTCAATGAGGGATCATCAATGTCAGTCAAAGTCATTTGGGGGCCTAGGCCCTCCCCAGTGTCTCTAGGCTAAGGGAGTATTCTCCATGGGGAATGGGCTCCTAAAGTCCATTCCTGCACTATCTTAGAATAAAAGGATAGAAAATGGTATCCCAAGTAAACAAACTAGGAAACAAGCAGGTATTTATATATCATAAGACAAAACAGACCTCAAAGTAAAGGTATAACTGTAGAAAAAAAAAAGTCACTTGATTATTAAGGGAACAATCCATTCAAAGGACATTTAATTTGAAATATAAATACCAATAATAATTGGATCTAATTTGTTAAAAACAAATACTCTAGATATAAAGTTACAAATTAACCTCAACACAGTAATAGGGAATAACTTGAATATCACACAATGAATGATAAATAGGTCATCCTGTGTAAAAGAAAAAAAAAAAAAAAAGGAGCATAGTAGTTAAACGGCATGATATGTCAAATGGACTAAACAGACATCTATTAAACATTCTGCCAAAACACTGCACCTCAATAACCATATGGGTGTAGTAGTAGCACTTTCTGATTAGATTTTTGACCTGCTCAGCAAGAGAACATGCTTGGTACTGGAAACCTAGCTAACTACTCAGTGTGAAATCATGGTTAGTAGAAGAGAATCTACCATCATTAATTTACTGAACCAGCATAATCCCTTACAACAATATATAAACACTTGTCCTTATATCCACAAGTAAGTAAGGAAACTTGCAGCAGATGGCAACCACTACAGAAAACTACAAACAATAAATATGCAAAGTCTTGGAGCTAAGTCCCAATGGATACATCTATAAACTATAAACAGTCCCACACCAAAGGATCGGGGAATACTACAGAACACGGGGTGGAAAGATTGTTAAGAACCAGAGGACCAGAGACTTTCCTGTGAGATTGTGTCCAAATGTGAGCTGAACAAGGAAGACAACAAAGAAATGGTAAACTTCATAGAGAAAAGCCATGACCCGTCATCTCTACAGGAAAAATTATAGGCAACTGAGTAAAGCTGTGAATGGGAGAGATGCCCCTCACTACAGGTATGAGCACACCAAATACAGTGCCAAACAGTCAGGCCTAAAAATAGACATGTAAGAAACATTGCATGGAATTAGGTTCTATTTGAGAATCTTTATAAATATAAAAATACATATATGCATGCAAAAACAAGTGATGGAAAGAGAATTGGGAGGGGTATATGGGAAGGTCTACAAGGAAGAAAGACGAGAGAGAAATATAACAAATACAGTCTCAAACAAACACCACCATCTTGACTGCTTTGCTCATCCTCCCTCTCTCCAGGAGTATGATTCAGTGCTTAGCTATGAGTGTCTGCTTCTGCTTCCATCAGTTACTGGAAATGATGTGACAAGACTTTGAGGATACCCCATGGAAGGCCTCACTATCCTTGAGGAGTGGGTGGGGGTTGGCTTAGGGAGCTTGGTGGGGAACAGGGAAGAATGAGAGGGAGAGGGAGGATTGATATGTAAAATAAGATTGCTTCTAAATAAAATAAACAAACGACAAAAATACTGTGCCCACTGAACTTTCTCCACAACAGATAACATGATAGGAAACAAAACAAGTTTCACCAAAAACAGGACACAAGAGAATAGAGCAAGAAAAATACAGACAATGCAAAAACTCAGGAAGATTTAACAACATATTATTGTTCAATGCTGAGTAGATACTAAAGAAATAAAAATTTCTGTATTTGAATCTAAATGAAGATACAAAATACCAAATCGTATGGAATGCAAGGAAAGCACTCTTAAGGGAGCTTACTGCTCTACATGAAAGAAAGCAGATGTCATAAACAGATTAACTTAATGATACTCCCTATGGCTTTGGAAAAACAAGACCAAGTCAATTACAAAAGCAGTAGACATAAAAAGAAACTGAAATAAGGGTGGAAATTAATGAAACAAACTAACAAAAAAAAAAAAAAAAAAAAAAAAAAAAAAAAAACTCAATCAACTAAATGAATTGGCTCTTTCAAAAGATTAAGAAGATTGATAAGCCCTTAGCCAAATTATAAAATAAAAGGTAAAAACGGAAAGATTACAATAATTACCAGTAAAATTCAGAAAATTATAGTATTCCTTTAAAGCTTATGTACTACTAAATTAAAAAGGTAAAATGGATGAATTTTATGCATATAAACAACCAATGTGAGATAAAAAAATTT